AAAATAGAGCAAATATTAATTAAAGACAGAATTGCTCAGTTTCTCTTCTAGTTTTATGCAGATGCTTGCCCTTTTTGGCAGTGATGTGCTGTTGTGGTTTGGATGTCACCTAAACTGTTTCTGGTTTTGATTAGGACTGCATAATTGTCATAATTTGTCACCTTCAATTATGCTCCAGATCGACTGACTCACTCAACTTACAGACTGCTTGATGATGACAAATGGACACTACCATCTGGACACAAAGCAAATTTGTGTTTTGAAGCCTCTTTGACATTTTGGTTCCATCCTGGTCCAAATGTCAACAGCAAACTGTTGTGTTTGCTAAAGCTGGAGAGACGACATACAACTCTCACAGTCTTTGTGTGAGTCATATCTAAGTACCCACACATCCATGTTACAAGAGATTTTTAATAAGATATTTCTGTGCCAACCAGTGTTAATTCTGACAGCTAATTTGGATTTGGAAGTTTTTTCTTTTCTTTTTGTTGTTTTTGGTGACTGTTGTAGACATTTCCTAATGGGAAATCATGTGTGTGTGTCCTTAGCTTCACATAATGAACTTTTTTATGTGTTATTGTGGGGTTAAAACAATCAATGTATAAGGAGGCTTGTTTGAATTAAGTCATTTTGTAGCTTTGTTTATCTCTCTATTTTACACATTTCCCCTTCTCACTTTTTGCATTGTACTAATCGACCTCTGAGCTCCTGAAAATTACATTATTAATCACAGGAGCTAGTATATGACTTATTTACTATTATATGTGTAAAACAAGAAGCTGTGGTGTTGGTTAGAGGTTAGAGTCTAACCACAGCTGAGACAATTTCCCAGCAGTAAAAATTAAAATAAGAGGTAACAGATATATTTATCTTTATCTTATCTTCTCTTCTGAGGTAGTGCCACAAACTGTAGATTTTCTTTCTGATATAGAGATTTTTTTTGCAACTGAATTAACTGAATTTCTACACTATGTCTGGTTTTACAAACACAGCAAAAGTATCATTGTTTGTCTTTGTCTATAGGCTTGTTTAGATTACTGTAGGAAATATTAATGAGTAGCAGCTTTCTTAAGGATGTAAAGACAGAAAGTCTTGGATAGTCTGTTATTACTTATGGAACATATAAAGATCTGTAGTACAGAAAAATATTGTGAATAAACTGGCATAACAGAAGATAAATAAAAGTCTAAAGAATGGCTGCGAGAGAAGGACTGAGTCAGATAAAGACATGGCAGGTGTCATTGCTTAGCAATTCATGTTGCAACACCAAATTTTCCCTTATGAGAGATAAGACTTCAGACAAATATGAACACAAAGAGAGGAAGAGTCATGGGGTTAGGTTAAGCGGGGGGTCTTCTCAGTGTGTGTCTGTCCTTGTGTTCAGGTTATAGTGATACAAACTTTGTAAACAGTTGTTTCATAAGAACTAGCAGCTCCGGGGTTGAACCCCCTCTGAGTCATTTATGTAAATTACTATGTGTGAAGCAGAAATACTTCATTTTTTTCTGTAACTGACCATGTATTTAGCCCAGGTAGAACAAGTCTCAGAGGTTTTAAGAATTGTTGTCAGGGCAGTTCATTGACTATTTTTAGACTAATGTTACCTCCCCGTCTATGTCCAGGGTGGAGGAAAACAAGGTTATTTTTCCCAGGTTGAAGACAGAGAGCACAAACACCGCCTTACTCAGTCTGTAAAACAATTATTTTATTTGTAAATGAACTGGTCACATCACTTCTGCAACACCGTGAATTCACATAGAGACACAGAGGGCCTGTATCCCTCCACAGATTATCAGGCAGATGCTGCTCACCTGTGCTCAACCTGGAACTGGAGAGAAAGAGAGAGAAAAAAGAGAGAGAGACACCACAGCCACGCACAAACACACAGGCACATAACAACTAAGGAAAGGAAGGAACTACTGGTCATTGTGATACAGCACACCACTGCACATAGCCAAATATGACCTCTGCTTTCAACCCATCACCCAAGTGAATAGGGGGCAGCTTTAAGAGTTTGGAGTGTGGGGAGTGTATGAGGACGGTGCCTTGCTCAGAGGACCTTAGTGATAACCTGGCAACTAACATTCAGATATTACCATTTATAAGCAGGCCCTATGCTACATTTTTAAGATTTTGGCTAACATTTAACTGGCTTCTTGATCTTTTATTAAATTATTTTGTCTTATGTTCATTTAGGTTCTGGCTTATGTTAAGTGGATTTTTTTCTTGATAACCTCACTGTCAGTCTTGGTTGTTAGATTCTGGTGGGTAAATCAGTGTCTTCTTAGCTAAGAGTTGCCTGTTTTAAACTTTTTTCATTTAAAATTGTAATGTTTTTTCGTCTATTTATTATAGGTTTTACAACCGTAAGTAAATCCTTGCATTTTTTTACATATGTTTTTCCAATTCAAAGCAAGCTTCTGGCTTACTAACCAAAGTGCTAACTAACCAAGTGCAAATGTCTTAACATTTAGCCTATAGACTTTCACTGACCGTGCTTTCTGACTTAACTTGTGTCTTTGTAAAACAATTAGAAAGAAACACACAGAACGTTAAATATAGATTAAGGTTGAACAGAAACCAGTGTGTTTGTGTGTGTCTGTATGTGTGTGTCTGTTAGTATCTGCGTTTCTACCCAGGAAAGAGCATCTACATTATGAGAAATGTTTACCAGCAACACGCATACGTAGATAGAGGGAAAGGACAGTGTGTCTAATCAGTGTGGTTAGTGGCGAGATCAATAGTTGGAGCTCGGCTGAAACTGTGTGTGGGCGCCTGGAGCGCATTCTGCTGCTTTTCCACTCATGATCATTGACATTCTGCGCTTACTGACTTTGGTGCTTCCAGGAAATAAGGCCTGAGAGACATGAAGAGAAGTGTGTGCCATGCTATGGCTGCTGATAAAGTGAGCACTTAGTCTCAGATCAACTGCAGTAACAACACGTTACTTGAGATTCAGTGCACAAACACTAACATAAAGAAATCAAGAGAATTATGTCATAAGACATTTGAAACATTGAGACTGTGGTTAAGCAGTACTGGAAAAGTCATACATAAAACATTCTGGTTGGTTGCTCAGTTGTCAGGTTAACTGCTGACCGGAGTTGATGAGCAGGATAGGGGAAAACAGGAGTATATGTCAATTACTCAGCTAGTGCTTGCAGCTGATATTTATCAGCCTGTCAGACCAACAACATCTAACACACATCTAAAACTCTATACT